AATCCCCACTGAGCCAGAAACAGAAAACACCAGCACTGAAACTCAGAGAACCGCGCCTGTGGGAAACCAGTTCCCACATCATAGCCATCAGGAAAGGGACCTCCACCCCAGCCTGCTACTTCCACCACCCCACTCTTGTGGAATTCATTTTTCCTTCATTATCACATCACCAACTTCACCAACTATAATTTCTCACAGAGAAAAGCATCTTGGTAATATCAAAGCACTGTAATAAGACCTAGAAAATGTGTGAAGAAGCAGGAAAACCACCAGGATCTACTTTCCAAATTCACCAGAAGAATTTTTAAGAATTATAGGATTAAAATATGATAAATTCCCAGCTTCCCCTCCAAAAAGTAAGAGTTTAAGAGTTATTATAGCTGACAAGGAGCACCACTGCAATATTCCTGACAAGAATGCCACATCCTGGCCTCTGTTTTGATAATTGTAATTCTTACCCTGACACGAAGCTGTCTACTAACACTGTTGTAATATTCTATTAGAAATATGCCTAGTACTCTCATCTACTGCTGGTGGGAAAACTATGAAAACGAATTTGTCATAGCTAGAAAATCTACATATATTTTTCATCTTTGACCTAGCAATTCCATTTCTAGAAAATCTCTGCCGAAGAGTTGCATGCAAAAATATAAAGATATATATTCACTGTAATATATTTTGTACTACTAAAAGACTGGAAATGACACAAACATTGACCTACAGGAACTTGATTAAATAAACATAGTATAGAATATATACACAATAGACTATGAGAAGTTGTTAAAAGGAAGAAAAAAGGAAGGGAAAGAGGGAGAGAGAGAAGTAATCATCTACAACTTTTGGCTTATGGGCTACTATGATTTTGGAAAAAGTTTTAATGCATCCCCTAAAGTTTCTTGTGCTAGAAGCCTGGTCCTTAGTGCAGCCAAGAAGAGAACTGGTTGTCTTCAAGAGATGAGGAAGATTAGGTTAGGTAAGTGGAAAGTTATCAGGTTAGTGGGGTCACTCTCAAAAGGGATTAACACACTTCTCATGGGACCCCAGTTAGTTCCAGAAGGAGTAAATTGTTACAAAAAGAGCAAGCCTGATCCCTGAGGCCCTCTTGCTTCCTGATTCATCATGTGATATCTCCCTGTTCACATTCTCCCACCATGAAGCCATCTGCCATGTTGGGACGTAGCCAGAAGGACCTCACCAGAACTAAGCGGATGCTGGCATTATGCCCTTAAATCTTCAGAGCTGTAAACTAAATAAACATTCTTTTCTTTATAAAATACCCTTACCTTCAATGCATCACTTTGACCTCTGGTTCCATTGTTACATCTCTTGCTCTGGCTCTGACTCTCCTGTCTCCCTCTTCTAAGAATCCTCGTGATTTTATTGGGCCCCCTACATAATTCAGTATAATCTCACTGCCTCAATGTTCTTAATCATATCTTCAAAGTCCCTTTGCCATGAAAGATCCATAGATTCAGATTCCATTGATTCAGATGTGGATATGGGGAGAGAATTGGACATTATTCTATTTATCACAGATCTAGTGTAGAGTTCTTATGCCATTGATGAAATAGAATATTACTTAAAGGCTAAATGAATTAGTTAAAAGTTATTCTATAAATACTAAATCAATTAAAATAATAAACAATTTTATTATAGTTAATACATTAACAAAAAAGGAGATAAAAATGGAATAAAAACTTCAGCTACCTCAGAGGCAGAAAAGGAAAAAAACCAAATTGAATAAATAAAAAAGAAACAGAAACATGATAGGTTTTAGCCTAAGTATAATAATAATGCATTAAATATAAGTGGTTTAATTACTCAGTTGGAAAAGTTTGTCAGATTATCTTTAAAAAGCAAGACACACTTATGTGCTGGGAAAAAAAAGAAAAAATTTCTTTTAACATGAATATACAAATAAGTTAAAAGTAAAAGAAAAAGGGAAAAATATAGAGAATGTAAACTCTAATCAAAAGAGAAAAAAAGTGACTGTCTCAATAGCACATAAGTAAATTTCAAATCAAATAATATCAGTAGAGATGAAAGGGTTATTTCACAATGTAAAGAGATCAATTTATCAAGAAGACACAATAATCCTGTTTTATGCACCTCATAAAAGTTTCAAAACATGTGAAACAAAAACTAATAGAATTAAAAAGATAAGCAAATAAATTCATAATTATAAACAAAAATTTCAGTATTCCCTCTCAATAACTCACAGAACAAATAATCATGTAAGGGAATCTGTAAGGATATAAAAGAATGGAATAACCCTATCAACCAAACTGACTTCACTGATATTTATAGCATACTATAACTAAGAACAGAATACCTACTCTTTTCCCAGTGTAAAGAAAACATTTTCCAAGACACAACATATTTTAGGCAATAAAATATGTACTCAAGCAATTTTTTAAAATTTATATCAAAGTATTCTCTGACTACATATGATTGAATTATAAATAATAAATGGACACATCTTTGGAAAATGCCCCAAATTTTTGAAGAATAAGTAATATACTTCTAAACAATTCTTGAATAAAAACAAAATCAAAAAAGGAATTATTTTGCACTGAATAGAAAGGAATGCATAATATCAAAATTTATAAAATGAGGCAAAAGCACTATCTAGGAGAAATTTCTTTACATTAGAAAATGCACGGAGAGGAAAGAAAAAAGTTCTCAAATCTAACCTGAGTTTCCACCTTAAAAAAAAAACAGATTGAATTAAATAAAAAGTAAGTTGAATAATGGAAAAATAAAGATCAAAACAAAAAACTATAAAATAGCGGAAAAATAATTAAGAACATCAATTCTATCAAAAGTTACTTTTTTGAGATCATTAAAATTGATAATCCTAATCAGAATTATCAAATAAAAAATGAAATCCAAAAAGAGTAAATTTGGGCAATTTATGAACAACTTTGTACAACTAACTTTACCAGCTTACATGAAATAAACAAATTCATTGTAAGTCACAATCTAGCAAAGCTTACTCAAGATGACATAGATAACTTGAATAGTCCCATGCCTACTTAAGAATTTAAATCTGTAAATTTAGATACTTCCACAAACAATGTACAAGGCCCAGATGGATAGTAAATACACAAAAACATTTATGGAAGTAATCATACCAATTTTATATAAACTCTTTCAAAAAACTGAGAAAATATTCCCTGACTCATTATATAAAGCCAAGATCACTCTGATATCCAAATCAGACTTGGCGATTACAAGACTAGTATCTCTTTAAATATAGATATTTCCTGGGGGAGGAAGCATACAAATTAAGCCTGACACATTCTATCCTGATATTAGGATAGCAAAGAGGCTATCAGAATCTCCAGGCTGTTTCAAAACATCAGTACTAACTGATACCCCTACTGGCCAAAGATGGAAAAATGTAAGCATCACTCAATAACTCTAGCAATGGATTAAAATACATCAAAAATGTTAAATCTGTAACTTCATGATAGTGCTCAAAATAACTTTATTGATCACCTCTGGAGAATACAAGGGAACCAATTCATTATTTCAAAACTGGTAAACAAAGAGAGAAAAATCGTTTATCCTACCTTTCTGATGTCAATCTTTCATAATAACCAAAATTTTAATGAAGAGATTTTTTTTCTTAAGCCACAGCACTAATAAATAAAGAAATAGGGATGGCCTTAAACTGTTGCCTTTTTTGCAACTCTTAATGAAATAAAGGATCTCAACTATTTTTATATCAAGGCTGCTAATATCAGTAAAACAAATAACTGGATCATATGAGGCTCCTGATGAAAGTACTATTTACCACTTAGGAACTGTTCTCACCAAAAAAACTAAACCTGAATAAGCCTCTAGACCTAATTATCAGTTCACAGGAACAACACCATAGGGATGCAATCAGAGAATCCAGGTTCTGGGAAACCCAACTGTGCAAAAAACCCAGTTTATTCAACAAATACCGTGCAAAGAGGAAAGAGAGAATTAAAGAAAAATTAGGAGATTTAAGAGAATTAAGAAGCGTGTTAACCAGTCACAACGCAGGGATCCTATCTGAATCCTGATTTAATCTGGAGGACAGAAAGTGAATGCTGGCCAAATATTTGATGATATTAAGGTCTCACGTGAGATTTGACGGTGATTGTGGGTTCACTTGGGTTTTTGAAGTCCTTACCATTGAGAGATACATAGCTAAACTTTTATAGGTGAAATAATACATTGTCCTGGATTTGCTTCAAAATAATCTGGATTTAGAGAAGAAAGCAGCAGGTGAGTGTAAATAAAATAAAATTGACCATGTGATTATTGTTGATGCTGGAATACATAGAAATTCATTTTACTATTCTCTCCATTTTCATATGGTGTGAAATTTTTCAAATAAAAAAGCTGTGGGTTTTTTCATATTCTCATATAAAGCCAGAAAACTCCATTTCTATAGTTGCCTTTCTAATCTCCACCAATGAATCGGGAGACTAGAAGATTGGTTTCAAAGGAATAATCATAGTAGTAATATCAACAATAGTATCCGACATTTTAGAGCACATACCATTTGCTAAAATAATGAGTTTTAAATGAATTATTTTCACTTAATCTCAACAAAATCCTACACAGTGAATACTAAAGTTATCCACATTTTACAGATGAGGAACCTGAGGGAGAGCGTTTTGGTGACAAAGTTAATAACCCTCACACTCATTATCTGACCACAAATTTCCAGCTTGTAACCACGACCCAAGGGTAAAAGATGAAGTCTGCTCTCATGTACTCATCTTGCTTTCTTTAGGCTGAATATCTTGAGTTCTTTCACTTCCTGCCTAACAGCTTCACTGGCCCACACCATCCTTGTCGAATTCCTTGGGACACTGGGTGCTGTAAAAGCAGTTGAGTTTCTTGACACACGTGCAGCTTGCCTCAGCCCACCCCATCCAGCTGCAAAGCCAGACAGCAGCTCGGGTCCTCCCTCCAGACTAGGAGCCCCCACGTGCATGATCCAAGGGTATGCAACTCACCTGGGCCGCGATGCCTCTTCTCCATCCAGATGTAGCAGTTATTCTGGGCCACCCCAGTCTGTGAGTCCAGGAAGGGGAGCCGCACGCTGCGTTCTGCACATAGCCGTGAGTTATAACTCCGGCAATGTTCAATGGCTTCCTTGTAAAACTGGTCCCCGAGCCTGCCAGGAGACACAGGGAGAGAGAAAGAGGGAGAGATGTGAGGCCTGCAGAAACCAAAACTCATCCAAAATTATACTGGTGTCTCCCTGCTCTTCTCCCTGGAAAGAATTTGAAGTTTTGAGAACAAAAGCTTTATCAAGAGCCAGAATGCAACCAAGTGCTAGGTCTGTACCAGACTGTCTCTCATCCCACACCCACTAGGTAACTTAGAAATCCCTTTAACCCAGAGCTAAAGACCCCAAGAATTAACCAGCAGTAGATGTGACTATCCCTATTCTGGGAAGCACAAGCTCCAGCTCCACACTGGGAATAGCTCTGGAACTATTTTCTACATGGAATCAACAGGACATCACACATCAAGAGCATCTTTAGCCACATTTTGTTTCCAGTGGTTACACCAAAGAGACTTTGGATAAACCCATACCATCAGAAAAGACACCCAAATTCTCACAGGAATGTAAGATAAACACTCCATAGAACAAAGACTAGAAGGACAGGACATGTCCTATAAAGGAGGAGCTATTTATTGCAGAGAGGAGGTGAAGAGGGACAAGCACCCACCTCCAAAGCCACAAAGTTTAAAAAATTTCGCCAGTGGAAAACAAAGAAAGAAAGAATTTAAAATAACACCGGAACTCAAAATAATTCAACTCCCAGAGCTAAACATACAAATCAAAATCTCTCCAGGTGTGTGGGAGTGATGATCTGATGAAGCACATTCCTGAATCTTTAGTATCCTTGGACACATAATGATGCTACTAACTTAAAGACAGTGTCTTTTGAAAAACTAAAAATAGTACACTGCTATAATTGACCAAGTATAAAACACAAACATAATCAATGAGATAAAATACTGAGCAAACAAAACAAGTCACATAGTGGAAGTGAATAAAGGCCCAAGGACATACAAATGTAATTAATTACATAACCTCTGCCTGGTAAACTTGACCCCAGGAGAACAGTGGAGGCAGGAAGGGGAGGAGACAGGGGCTGTGGGGGCAAAAGAGAAAATCAAGTGGCTCCTTTTGAAGCAACAAGGTAAATGTCCCTTTGTTTTGTTTGGTTCTGTGCAGATTTGAAGAAGCCCAAATCTGGGAAGAAAAGCCTTTACCTTAAAAATAGCATACTTTTTTATTTATTTATTTTTGGTGCCGGGAATGGAACTCACAACTTTGTGCTTGCCAGGCAGGTGTTTATGCTACTGAGCTAAATCCCCAGCCTCATGTATTTTTCTTAACCAAAATATTTAGAGAAATCAAGAAAGAAATGTCAAGAGGATGTTTTCAATTTTTTAAATTGTAGTACAGGTATACATGACAAAATCTACCATCTTAATGATTTCAAGAAAGTCCAATGGTTTCAAAACTATTCACATTGTTATGCAATTTTCACCACCATTCATATCCACAACTCTTCATTTTGCAAAAACAGAAACTCTACCCATTAACCAGTTAACTCCCTCTCCCCATTTTCTCCCAGCACTGACAACCTCCGTTCTACTTTCTGCCTCTGTGATCTTGACTCTTCCAAATAACTTCACATAAGTGAGATCATACAGTATTTGTCTTTTGGAAACTGGCATATTTCACCACTTAGCATATTTTCTTTTCTTTTTTTTTTTTTTTTTTTTTTTTTTTTTGTCTTTTTCCTTTTTATCGGTACCAGGGATCGAACCCACGACTGCCTGCTTGCAAGGCAGGTGCTTATGCCGCTGAGCTAAATCCCCAGCCCCTTTTTTTTTGTCTTTTTCCTTTTTATTGGTACCAGGGATCGAACACACGACTGCCTGCTTGCAAGGCAGGCGCTTATGCCGCTGAGCTAAATCCCCAGCCCCTCACTTAGCATATTTTCAAGGTTCATCCACACTGTAGCATGTGTCAAAATTTTCTGCCTTTTTCAATAAGATTGACTTGATGCCTTTTCTGGTTTGACTATTATCCTCTTTTGAAGTTCTGTAAGGTTTACAATGTTTAGGTTTTATTGGACTTGTTCTCTACTGTTTTGTTCAACTTTATAATACCTAATGAGATGGACAATTCTTCTTAAGGAAGCAAGAGGCATTATGGTAACCGCTGTTGATAACCTTGTACTCTGTTTTTACATCATGTGATATGTCTATCCTTGGTTTCGACTGACAGCTTTGTTTTATCATGTTTGATTTTATTCTCTTACAAAAAAAAGTAATAAGATCTATGGGAGCAATAAAATCCAAAATGTGTAAATTTTGTTGTAATAAAGAGAAGGAAAAAAAAAGTGCCCAAAAGGATACAACAGCAAGTGTGTTTAGATGTGTTAAATAGATGACCATATTAATATTTTTGATTGAATCATTGAACACAACTATTTGCTGTCTCACTATTTGAATGTTCACTTTGTATGCTTTGATCCTGTGACCTGAATCACTGTTTCAAAGATGATAGTGTGTAATCTATTAACTGGTGATATCTTACTGGTTTTTTTTTCTTCTTTTTGTAGTTCTGTATTGTACCCTTACACTGTTTTGTTTTGTTCTGTTTTTTTCTCTTTTTCTTTTTAAATAAAAAAAAATTTCTGCCTTTTTAAGGCTGAGTAATATTCTATCACATATACACATCACATTTTGCTTAATTTTTCATTAATCCATGGGCAGCAAGTTTATTCCACATTTTAGCTCATGGCGTAAGGCTGCTATGAACGTAAGTAAACATGTATCTCTTCAAGCCCCTGCTTCTAATTCTTTTGAGTAGAATTGCCGGATCATGTGGTAGATCTATTTTTAATTTTTTGAACAATTAGTATACTGTGTTTCCCAGTGGCCACAGCACTTTTCATTCCCACTAGCAAAACACAGGGCTTGCAATTCCTGCACAAACCTGCCACCGTTTGTTAGAAAGCACAGTTTTAAACAGACTTTTATATACTCTTTCAAAAATATCAGTGGATCCAATCGTATCAAAGAGTTTTAAACAGATATCTCATGACAAGATAGTAAAACTATAGAATGTCCCAGGCATCATTTAGAAATAAAGATGAGGAAGAGGAAGAGGAAGAAGGAGAAGCGGAAGAAGGAGGAGGAGAAAGAGGAGGAGAAAGAAAGAAAGAAAGAAAACAAAAACTTCCCTTCTTTTTATCTCCAAAGAGGCTCGTACTCACATGGAAGGCATAGCATACACAGAAAGTATCCTGACAGTTACAAAACCAAACTATCATCAAATTATAACGTTGCACAGCTGGAAATAAATTGGGGAGGGGAGACAAAAGCCCATTAAAATGCTATAAAGTGAAATGACACATAAGCTGATGTAAGCAAAGTTGATAACAAGGATCATGAGATTGAACAAAAATGAAGAACTCTTTTCAGCAAAGTGTTCCTCTGTGTTACAACAGCGTGAATGCCTCCTAGAGCAGTGGAGCTCAGTGGAACAGGACTTGTACATGCAGTTGAGCCAAGGCAAGATGCTATGGATTTCCAAGGTCTCTGCATGACACAGTGACCAGCCGCGCCAGCCAGTCCACATTAATGAAAACTGGCAACAAATGATGGGTGAGAGGCTGAACCAGTACCTTGGGTGTGTATCAGGCAAGTGCTGTACCACTAAGCTATGCTCCTATTCCTTTTTTTTTTTTTTTTTTTTTTTTTGTCTTTTTCCTTTTTATCGGTACCGGGGATCGAACTCACAACTGCCTGCTTCCAAGGCCGCTGAGCTAAATCTCCAGCCCCTCCTATTCCTTTTTTAAAACAGCTAAGTTGCTAAGATTGGCCTCAAACTTATAATCCTCCTGCCTCAGCTTCCCAAGAAACAGATCAGAGGTATGAGCCACTGTCCCTGGCTCCCATGATCACTAAAAAAGATGTTAGCTATTCCAGCATTGGAATTCTGAAAGAAAGAAAGAAAGAAAGAAAGAAAGAAAGAAAGAAAGAAAGAAAGAAAAAGAGCCTATAAAATTAGATTCTCACGCTCAAAAAATTAAAAGAAGAAAAAGAAAAAAAAAAGGAAAATTGTCCACAAAGACTCATCTACCAGAGAAAACAGAATTTCCATTTTCCAGATAAACTTCAAACTGAGCTTTTCCTGATATGCTAGTAACTCGCTTCCAACAGCTTTAGCCAGATGAGAAGACCAAGAAAGTACATGTGCTGAAAACAAAAAGTGAAGTTGGCAAACATCTGTATCCTACACCAAACAAAACCAGAAAGTCCAAAAAGCAGCACACCAAGTGAAAAATTAATCTCATCCTAAACACCTTCCATTTTCATAACATGCTACGCTACTAGTAACAGGTGTGCTGGGGGAAACGCATGTTTTTAAAATGTAATCGTTTGTGTGAATGACACCTCTTTTAGGTAAGTAGAAAAAACTGTGCAGACAAGAACGGCCGTCTTAAAAGACTGAAGCTGCCCAAAGGTGACATCAAACACTGTCCTCTGCAGGGAAGTCACTTTCAAACGCACCACATATTGGCAGAGATTTGGAAACAAAAGTTAAAGGCCTTCTTCAAAATACAGGAAGAGAAGAAGAGACTTCAACCACCTTGATAAATTCAAGGAGCACTTCTCCAAAGTTAATTAGCCAACATCTTCACAGGGCTGGCTGCACTCTCTAGGAGAAAATCAATGGTCAGGTCTCCTGAACCCATGAAAGCAATTTAAACAGGAGAAAGGACAAATGTCCTTCCCACTATGGCATTTCTTTTTTTTTTTTTTTTCCAAATCCCACAAGAATAGGATCCCATGGGTGACATTTGCATTAAAGTTGCAAGGGGCAGAGGGAGCCAGGCACAGGCTGGCAGTTAATGACTCATTTTGTGGAGCTGTGACCAGATGCCCCGGGCTGGGTCAGGTGTGGACTAGCACTAGCCTCAGCTGTTACTTGTCTACACCAAACCGAGGGGGCTGGATTCCCAGGGGATGATCTAGTCTCAGGCTTGAGGAAGCTGGCACAAGGCAGGGTAGAACGATGTCCTCAACAACTGACTCGGGGCTACCCAAGGTGGCAATCAGAAATGGGGACAGCAAGGG